ATTGTACTGGGTGTGATTATTTTCATAACATTTACATATTATTCACAGAATTTTCAGTGGACTCGCGGTTATTCAAGCAACAACGATGTCGGTTATATGAATGAATCTGAACTGAGCGAGCTTTCCGATAATAAAGTTCTTCTGCTGCAGACGGACTTGTTACAGAGAACAATGATGAGTTTAGTGGAACGAAAGGATAAAGAATTGGAACGAAAGGATAAAGAATTGGAAAGCAAGAATAAAGAACTTTTGAGTTTAATGGAAAGCAAGGATAAAGAAATGTTTAGTTTAATGAAAAGCAAGGAGAAAGAAATGTTGAGTTTAATGGAAAGCAAGGAGAAAGAAAAGTTGAGTTTAATGGAAAGCAAGGAGAAAGAAAAGTTGAGTTTAATGGAAAGCAAGGAGAAAGAGCATAAGAAAGAACTTTCGAGTTTAACGAATGAATTTAATGAGGTTAAAAATTTAGTAGAAAACAGAACACAAAGTCTATTGCAAATGAAGAATATGGTTAACGTAAGGGGTGCCTTGGAATTTATTCGCGCGCAGGTAATTATTTTCTAATTGTATTTTTCAATTTTACCATCCGAATTTTGATTATTGAGAGGGACTTTACACGACAGATTTTGAAAAAAGATAAGTCGATCGTCTTTACAGAACCTATAGATAAGGCTCTGATGCGCTTATCTCAAGATAAAGATTTCATCAAAATTTTAAAGAAAGCGTGTGAAGATAATGGTCTTCGGTACGACGACGTTCAGCATTGTATTAGGGGCCTCTACCATTCTGCGTCAAAACACTTCCATGGACATGAACCGCAGATTGTGATTGATTCGCGATCTTGGACGTCTAATGAAGTATTTGTGCTAGGCATTATTTTTCGCCATTTCAAAATTCCATTTTCATATTGTAATGGAGATGGTCAGCCAGATTATTACCCCTATAAATTGTAAAAGAATGGTATTGCAATAATAGACATATCACGTGGCATTTTTATGTGCTATTGATTTTAATAAAGCATATTCATTTAGACTTTCATGGTTTTTATTCCTCACGGTGTAAGGTTATGAGATTTGCATTTTTCAGTATTACAGTATTATGCAAAGGAAATTAGATCACCTCTATCCCGCGAGGTATTGAAGATTGCCCATCATTACAATAGAATATACATTGTAAATTAATTAAAGCCTATCCTGTCACTTAATGACGGATCTAACATCTAGTAATGTTTTTTATTTAAAGTGACATTCATTAATCGATAATGATAACCAATATAGCTTTAGATGTCTCTGATTATCCACTAGCAGATGATTGAAAAGCATTTAAAAGGATTATCGATTCGGAAAATTGCCAAACGATTAGGGTTAGCAAATCTTTATAAGTTGAGTTTTTCAGGCAGATAGATGTATTGAAAGATCTTCTTCACTTCATTGGTTCGGTACTGGTGGCCTAATATGGTCTATAGTCTTAAGACCTAGTCTGTCAAGACTGGTCTGGCCTTAAGACTTAAAGAAGATTTCAATTCAAGATCGGTCTTAAGACTAACTGTGGCATCAGTCTAGATCAGACCACATAACATTCCTATGTTTTAACTAAAAACTTGAATGATACAAAAATATCTTAAGACTATTAATAAAAGAAAAACCTGACTGGTATTTGCTTAAATTACAGTCAGAGGTGAAACTATGGTTAGGACATCAAAATAGTCTTATGATAATATAAAATATACCAATCATGCCGAAGTCAATTGTGATTATTATATCCTTTAGAACGAGTCTGTTGCGTTTTGCAAGTGATTTAGTTAAAATTCTATCTTTCACAGCAAACCGGGGCTTAGAGACGATTTTTTTATTTGTTTGGACGTTGGCCAAAATTTGGAAAAATTTGGATAAAAATTTTTAAATTTGGATAAAAATTTTTTAATTCGAAAAAATCAAAATTTGCTATTTACGTTTATTGTAAAAAAAATTTTTTTATTAAAATTTATTGGTTTTACTGTTTATATGTGAGGCCAGAATCAAAAGTAAAATGTTTCAGAAACTCCTGCACATTATTATAGGCCGTTACTTTTTGGTTTTTTATTCAAAAAAATATTGTCTTGTACTAGTTTTTTCTTGGTGCGAATATATTAAGTGTAAACTCAATAATTTTTGTGGCAACTGATGTTAAAAGTTGATTTTATATAATATGAAATTTTAGATTAGATTAGGATTCATGTTAGAGTTGTTACTAAAAAGTATATGTATACTTTAGTAGATTTAATAAATCTACTGTAAGAATGCGTTTAAAGAACAATCTATTAAAAAATCAAATATCTTTTTATTGGTCAGATCACATGTATAAAGACCTATTTTTATTGGTCAGATCATGTGTAACCCCAAAAAAATCAGATTGCCAAGATTTATTTTTATTGGTCAAACCGCATGCATTATAGAAAATTGCCAAAAATTTGGATTAACCGCAAAAATTTGGTTCCAAAATTTTCCGTGTCCCTGTATTGTTGGGATTAATGCGCCACGCAAACTTTACGTAATTCTGGCCAATCGCAGAATCATTTTTAATCTATTGTAATCTGATAAAAAAAAAAATCTACATTTGAATTTTTTTTCCCTAAATGCTATGTCGATTGCACTCAAGTTTGCGCGACTTACTCGGAGAAGGGTGCTTACGGTAAGCTAATTGTACTGGGTGTGATTATTTTCATAACATTTACATATTATTCACAGAATTTTCAGTGGACTCGCGGTTATTTAAGCAACAATGATGTCGGTTATACGAATAAACCTGGTTTTTTTTTAGAACTGAGCGACCTTTCTGACAACCCCAAAGTTCTAGATAAAATAGCCAATCAATTTCTTCAGCTGCAGGCATACTTGTTTGAAGGGAAATTGAAAGCAATTCTGAGTTTAATGGAAAGCAAGAATAAAGAATTGGAAAGCAAGAATAAAGAATTGGAAAGCAAGGATAAAAAAATTCTGAGTTTAGTGAAAAGCAAGAATAAAGATTATTTTGAAGAACTTTTGAGTTTAACGAATGAATTTTATGAGGTTAAAAAATGAGCAGAAGACAGAGCAAAACGTCTATTGCAAACGGAGCATATGGTTAATGTAAAGGGTGCCTTGGAACTTATTCGCTCGCAGGTAATTATTTCTAATTGTATTTTTCAATTTTACCATCCGAATTTTGAATATTGAGAGGGGCTTTACACAACAAATTTTGTCAAAAGATATGTCAATCGTCTTTACAGAACCCGTAGATAATGCTCTGATGCGCTTATCTCAAGATGAAGATTTCATCAAAATTTTAAAGAAAGCGTGTGAAAATAATGGTCTTCGGTACGACGACGTTCAGAATTGTATTAGGGGCCTCTACCATTCTGCGTCAAAGCAATTCTATGGACGCGAACCGCAGATTGTGATTGATTCGCGATCTTGGTCGTCTAATGAAGTATTTGTGCTAGGCATTATTTTTGACCATTTCAAAATTCCATTTGATTATCGTAATAGAGATGGTAAGCTAGATTATTACCCCTATAAATTGTAATAGACACATCACGTGGCATTTTTTATGTGCTATTGATTTTAATAAAGCATATTCATTTAGACTTTCATGGTTTTTATTCCTCACGGTGTAAGGTTATAAGATTTGCATTTTTTAGCTTACAACTGTTTCATAAATTCCGAGACACTTTGAAAATTGATGATGACCGAACCGATAAGTTTTTGATGTAGGTAGCTTATTGATTCAGTTTCGGTAACTTATCGATTCAGTCATTAGAAAATATTACTACTGTCCCGGAATTTATGAAAACAGCTATAAACGATCAGAGTTATGATCTCTATTTCATTACCAATTTTTTGTGGGGATTGTTGAACTTTGTACGTAGTAAAATAAATTATTCGTGAAGCTGTTTAGATCATAAATTAAAGGGCTTTCGCTTGCTCGCCTAACAGCAGAACAGAAATTCATGAACAAAAAATTCCCACGTGTATGTAACAACGCGAAATTCACAGGCTTATCGTTTATTAATTAATGGTAGCGTTTTTTATGGGGAACGGGCGTATGATCACGTGAATATTCTATTGTTTTGATACTTTCCTCATCTAACTCGAAATGTGATCGTTATTTTATGAATACTAAAGAAAAGATAATAACTTAAATACGCGTATTTTATTATTATGTACATAAGTTACAATATGTAATTAATTTTGAATTATGAATAAATTTTAAATTACAGAATTTTGACAAATAAATTGTATATAAATAAAATAATGTTAACTTATTAGATCCAAATAAGATCATAACTGATATATAGACATGGAGTTATCCAGTAATTATCTCCCAAACACCGTAACGGTAATCTTCATCACTTTCATATAAATTAGAATACATTCCTAATGCCCAAATACTATAAATAAATTCATAATTTGAGTGATTTATTGGACAATTTTTGCCAATCATACTTTTAAAAGATTCTTTTTTCCACTCTCCTGTTGGAAGTTGTTTTGACTTAATAAACTATTATAATAGTTTAAAAGAAGCGTGCAAATGTTAAAAAGAAACCAATTTATCAAGATTGTCGATTTTTAATTTGATTCTATGAATAAAAATTACCTCAATTCCATTTATAATAGGTTCACTAAGTGGGTATTCTGCATACATTAGCCCAAGCAATGCCCAAGCTGTATTAACTACTTGCGAATTTGAATGTTGTATATATTGTCCTACTCCAGATGCAGACTAATAGGATTCCAAAGAAAATAGTTAAGTTTTAAAATCAAACATTGATAGTCAGTTTTTTTTTATTCACAATACCTTGTAATCTTCTCCCCATCCACCGTCTTCACGTTGTTTAGAAATCAAAAAGTTGCATGCTTTTTTTACATATTCGCTATTACCAAAAAATGAATCGATTTTTTTTTTATAAGTTTAAATTTCTAATGTTTACACATTTATTAAATCTAAAAAATCACTCACCTATTCTCATAATTTTCTCCAACACTCGATAATCCTTGAATTGCAAACATTGTACCATATGTGAAACAAATCCCCCAAGATCCAAGCCAACTGCCATCTTTACGTTGCATACTATGAATATATTTCGCAGCTTTTGCGCAAACATCTCTAAAATAATTTATTGTAAATCAAAAATTAGTTTAATCAATAATTTAAATGTTTTTGTCTACAATAAAAACTTACTCAATATCATCAACATAATGATCTACGAGATCAAATTTTGAAAATATTCTTAAAGCAGTCATAACAGAACTTGTACATTCAACGTAAGTATGTTCAATAAAGGTATTTTCAAAAAGTTCTGAAGGATTTATCAATTCCATCCAACAGTAACCACGAATACCTTCAAAACATGAATATCCACCATTGGTATGTTGCCTTCTGATTAAAATATCGATTGTAGATTGAATTCGTTTTTGATTAATTAATGGCTGCGTGTAACTTATCATGTAGAAGTTGAACGAAAGTCATTAGTACTGTTTGTAAAAGTATAAAAGAATAGCTTAAGGGGGCTGGTAATCGTACCCCACTAAAAATATATTTTTTTAATCTTTGAAGATATCTCAACAATCACCTGACAAAATTTGATAAAGCTTTTTTTATTTGAACTCTAAAATCCTTAGAATTCAAGTAAAAAATTTTTATCGAATTTGATCAGGTGGTTTGTCGAGATACCTTTGCTCAAAGTTTAAAAAAATCGGTGCAGCGATAGGTGTTTTGATTTTTATCTAACTTTGAGCGAAGAAAATATCTCGATAACTACTTGGCCAAATTCGATAAAATTTTTTATTTGAATTCTATGAATCCATAGAATTCAGATAAAAAAAAGTTCATTGAATTTGGTCAGGTAGGTGTAGAGATATCTTCGCTCAAAGTTGAAAAAAATTTTGACGTAGCTCTAATTTTTAATAGGCGTTTTGATTTCCCTCTAACTTTGAACGAAGGTATCTCGACAATCACTTGACCAAATTCGATTAAACGTTTTTTATTTGAATCCTATGGATTCATAGAATTCAAATAAAAAAATTTACATCGAATTTGGTCAGGTTTTCATTGAGATATCTTCACTCAAAGTTACAAAACGCCTATCAAAATAAAAAGTTGCGCCGAATTTTTTTTAAACTCTGAGCGAAGATATCTCAACATCCACCTGATCAAATTTGATGAAAATTTTTTATTTGAATTCTTTGAATTCATAGAATTCAAATAAAAAACGTTTAATCAAATTTGGTCAAGTGATTGTCAAGTTAGATGAAAATCAAAACGCCTATCAAAAATAAGAGTTGCGCCAAATTTTTTAAAACTTTGAACGAAGTTATCTCGACAACTACCTGATCAAATCATAAACCTTTTTTGATTTGAATTCTATAGATTAATAAAGTTCAAATAAAAAACTTTTTATCGAATTTGGCCAAGTAGAAGTCGAGTTATCTTCACTCAAAGTTAGAGAAAAATCAAAGCACCTATTGCTGCACCAAATTTTTTTAAACTTTGAGCAAAGATATCTCGACAACTACTTGATCAAATTCGATAAAATTTTTTTTATTTGAATTCTATCGATTTATAGAATTAAAATAAAAAATGTTTCATCAAATTTGGTTAGGTGATAGTCAAGATATTTTCGCTCAAAGTTTTAAAAAGTTTTATTTTTATTGGGGGGTATGAATACCAAATTGTGATTAAATGATAAAAAGGACTTACTCTAATCTACCCTGAAGTAGTAATACTGCTTTTAAAGCTTCAGCAGTACAATCATTGGCAGACCACCCTTGTTCTCTTGTACTAAAACACCATAATCCTTTTGAAGGTTCTCTCCAACATTGTTTCATATATGTTGGATTATTTTTTATTTGTGAATCATCTAAAAATTCAAGTGCTTTAATCATCGACTCGTGATTATCTGAATCATTTGCTAAGCCTTGTAAAAATTTAAAAAGAATAAATAAACGTGTAACAAATATTTGTGTGTTCTTTTAGATATTTTTAAATTTATTACCTGATTCTATTATTGCTTGTACTGCAAGTGAAGTATCCCAAATTTGAGATCCATCAGTGTAATTCATTAACATCCCATTTGGAGTCATCCTAAACATTGTTTTAAAATACTATAATTAAATACTTTTGCAATAAATCGTTATTTGAATAGTGTAACATAATAAGTGAACTCTAAAGAAAAAATATAATACAAACCATATATAATTTGCGATTTTATCCTTCATATTTAAGAACATCTCAGATTCTGGACCCTCTTTATGGTAAGCACAAACCAAACGAAATAATTTATCAATCTATTAAAATAAATCATCCGAAAGTTTTATATATTAACAAATGAGATAACTTGTCTACAGTGTTAAAAAAAAAAAATAAAATTCAACATACCGCACAGGTAGAAATATAATTAGAATCAAATTCTTCAAGTTTCATTAATTTATAAACCCTTCTTAATGCGATTTCACGAATACCCAATAAGCTTTGGAAACTATCCCAAATATTTGAAACCGCTTTATTAATAAATTTAATTAACAACATTAGTTTATTATTATTATTATTATTATCACCGGCCGTCAATATCGTTTTGCACTGTGTATAATATTCCCATGATTAAGAGCCGGGTATTAATACCTGGAGTGTAGCTATACTAGTTTATTACTTTTACATATAAATTGTATCCAAATATAGTATCCGGTTCTATACAAAGTACCCGGATACTAATCCTGACAGGGTCAAAATTAGCCAGGATTACCTTAATGTTGACCAAATTTCGACCCTGTCGGGATTCCTATTTTCGGGATTTTAACCAAAATCTGGGTCCTGGATACTATATAAGCAGTGCTAAACGGTAATGGATACACCTCTAATAAAATGAGCAAAAAAAACTCACTGTTAGTGACAACTAAAGCTGGAGACCGCGGAAAATATATATCAGCCTCACAAACATTTTTCTTTGCAGCAGACCAATTAATTTTATCATATGGTTGAACAAATAGCTCAGTTCGTAATTGTTTGATTAACGGATTTATTCTTTCAGTTACTTTACGCCCATAAAGATAACTCATCGAGAGATGGGAAGCACGTATTGGACCCCATAAGCGAGCTGGATGAAGGGGTGACTTGTATGGAAGAAGCCTTCATACGAAATAAAATTATTTGAATTTTAGTGATTGAATGTACATTATTAGATAAAACTAACAATAGGAATTATTTGTATTTACCATAATTCTGGTAAGACCGGATTAACTCCTTTCCAATCATAAAGATTCAGCATTGCTAACCAAAACTTTCCAAGAGATGGAATAGCTACAGCACCACCTGTTTTAAAAAAGGTTATGGATGAATGACCTCGGAAAAAAAAAGCTAGCGTTGACTCACCAAGTTTATGTATGAATGCTCTGCTTTTGACCAGTACGGGATGCTCGGGATCCATTCCCAGAATTCTGAGTGCAACATAATTTAAAGTTGTTCCTAGCAAATTAGAATGGTCTTCTATATGTCTGACAAAATATAAATTATAATGAATAATAAATCTTTTACAAGTTAAAAAAGATTCCAAAACTCAAATATCACATACATTCCCCAGCCGCCATCTTCAGGATTACAAGTATTAACTAAATATGTGATAATTTCAATTTTCCAAGCGTGAGGAATCGATAGCCGAGTAATGTATGTCGAAAACACAAATCCAGAGATTAAAAATATAGGGCCACTATATTTTCCCGCCCAATGACCATCCACGGTTTGCAATTGTTTAAAGAATTTATATCCATTATATATGGCTTCAAGTGCGGTTTTCGGTGGTGAGTGTTTTGAATGACCACCGTTAATTTTCTATACCAAAATTGATACCCATTAAATGTTGATTAAGTGATCGTAAATATTTAGAAAAATAATTACTCACATCATTAGATAATCCTAACCAATAGCGATCACATGCTGTTTGAGGCCAATTTTTTATTTCATCATTACTTTCCAAATAATGCCAAGTCTGCTTTCCGTGATCCACTTCGAGTCTCCACCGTGACCTGTCGGTTGTTTCTATATTTATACTGGAATAATCCGACATCTTCAAGAATCAAAAATTAAGAAAACATAAAAAATTGAATATTTTAATTTTAAAAATTATATTTAAAAAAGAAATGGAATGCAATGCATATATATTTGAACGAATGTACTGTGCCACAAAACACCCAGTCAAATGCGACAAAGTCCTAACCCGATAAAATTAGATTTTTAACCATGGCGTTGTATTTATTTGTTTTCCCAATGTATAAAATATATACTATAAAGACATATGTTCCAGGATGTGATTAATAATGTGATAGAATTTTGTGCGTCCGAACAGGAAGTCGCGTAACAACAATTCCCTTGTCACCTTGTTTGTTTACGTGTGTGTAATCAACTGACCTATACGCCGACAATGTGATACTAAAGAGTTATCACAAAGAAGTAGACTTTATTGAAAAGAACTATTTTATCCTATAGTTATTTTTAATTTTAGAAATTTACAATAGCGATAAAAATTTCTAAATGCGCTTTGATGTCGGCCGGATTCGTGACTGATAATAGGTTTATGATTGACAACGTCTGCGATCTTGCGTATGTGCGCACAGTACGCACCAATTATAGCATTAAAATGTGTAACTATTATTACTCATGTACAGTACATTAAGCATTTACGTACTGTACGTATGTACATACGTACCGATTATAGAATTAGCTTCTTAATTATTTTAATTGCTTATATATTGTTGAGACAAAAAAAAAAATACATGTATAATATATAATATATATTAAAGATTAAGCTTTGTTTCAAGCATATATTCCCACAATATAATATATACAGATCTTCAAACTCACAGATCAAAACTGTACATTAAAGAAATGAATATAAACGAACAAGCAACGATTTGTTAAAAACATCGATAGTCCATTTTTTCTTTTTGTTAGCAAAAAGAAATTGTAATAAATACTATATATTCATTGATTATTTTTCTTTTTTAAATTTACAACTTCATATCCGACAACAGCTGCAATAATAATAAGAATTATTAAAATTATTGCAAGACATATCCATTTCTTTTTTCGAGCTGCTGCTGCACTTGTGCGCGCTCTATCCAAATCATCATTTGCCTTTTCTAATTTCGTTACGGTTGCAGTTGTATTATCCTCAATATTAACGATAGTCTGATCCTGTTGTTCGACCTGAAGATATAATTCTTTAAAGAGGTCGGCAAGCTCAGCAATTGTCTCCTCAACACGTTTAATGTCATTGTGTCGTCTTTTTACTTGATCCAATGCGGCTCTGGCTTCACCAGAACGTAAAAGTGCTTGTTGGAATACTGGTTGTCCTGATGGGCTTGACATATAATCATCAATTTCTTGCTGAGTGGCATTCGGATTGACTATCTTATATTGCCGAACCGTTCGTTCGGTTTGTTGTTTTATATAATTATCTTCAGCTCCACGATATTCGTTAAGAATATTGGATAATTTCTCTCTGAGAAATCCATGCCTTTGTGTTCTTAAACCATAATTAGGATCAGACCTGGGAAGTCTGGCATTTTCATATTCAATCTGCTTAATGCGGTCTTTATTTTCAGTAAGCATCTGTCGGGTGTCATTCATAAGCCTGTTACGTTCATTACTGATAGCATCTACATCATTCGTCGAAGTGGCAACTAGAATATTAGATTGTAAACTTTGAATCCTTTTAATATTGGCATGAATGGTCTCAATATTTTTTTCAATTGTTGAGGTCTCGTTCAAGAACGTTCCGATATCCATTATCTATTCGTTTATTTAGAATTTTCAAAAATAAAAATTGGAATTCAGACACCCAAGAAAACAAAAAGGCATAAAATTTTAAAGTTTGACACTCTATATTCTATGTGGGAACGGACGAGTTGAGGTGTAATTTCATCAGTTTAAACAAATACTAATATATAGTTTGCTAAGTGTCTCTGTTTGTAGGACACCATCAGACCATTTTCTGCATTGATCAGCAGGTTTATTTGGCTTACTAAAAATTCGGACTTTCCAAAAAATAAATTTGGCAAATATGTCATTCATCTTACGTACACACGTAACCTAATTTTAAATAGATCGATATATTAATGTCTAACACGTGATATATAATTACGTTAAAATTAGCGATGTTACCTAAGACCCTATTTAAGGGGGTTACAAAGGCTACAAAGGGGCTGCATTTCCTCCTAGTTTGGAATTTGCATCAACCATTTATCGTAAGCTCATGCCATATTAAAATTTGAACTTCTCGACCTCATCGGCCAATCAACACAACGGAAAAATCGTGGCGCAAATGATAATATTTGTGATTTAGCACGTACAGAGTAACATGGTGAAAAAAATTCCATCACAAATATTATCTTCAATAGACAATTCTTTGCATAAGATTTAATTGGAGAACATCGAATAATATATATAGACGTCACATAATTATTATTTTTTATCCATTTTATAATTCTATGCACGTGAGTTCAAATGTTGATTCGGATTATTTTAAATCCGTATCGGTCCAGATCAACATGTAAACTCGGTTTAAACGCCAACAGTTGAAACGCAAAACCCAATAAATCTAAATGCCAGATAATACAACTATTAAAGCATATTCAAAATATGTGCCAAGTTGTTGGTGTAGTAAAGATTTACAACTGAGAACCTTGGTTTCTCAATGTGATTAACTAGTGATAGATGTTGCTCAAATTATTGTGATTAATTGAGTAGTTAATACGATTAAAAATTCATTACAGTAAGACCTCCCTAAGTGTGGGACCATAGTAAAAAAAAAGCAAAACGTGCATTTAAAGAGAGTGTGCATTTATAGAGAGCAAAATATTTGGTGCTCTTATAAGTTGGGACCAATTATACCATGCATTTAGAGAGAATTTACATAGAGCGTGCGTGCTTTTAGGGAGGTCTTACTGTATGTGAAAATGCGGATTCTAAATTTTAACCAATCATAGTAACTTTATAAAAAATAAACTTATACTACAGCAGTATTGGGCAATTGGACTGTTTGATTTTTGGACACCACGTCCAAAATCTGTCCAAAGCCAAAACTAAATTTAAACAAATACAAAACTAGCAAAAAATTTTTTCAAACTTTGAGAATATCTTAATAACTACTTATTTTAAAATCAATGAAACCTTTTTTTATTTTAATTATTTGCATTCATAACATTAAAATAAAAAAATTCATACAACTGTTTCTATTGTCAAGGCTTAAAAACTCACCAACAAGAGAAAAAAAAATTAAATGAGCAAATCAGGTCTTATCATAAAATTGCCAAATCAATTAGAGAAAAAGAAAAAAGATGAAAGATGACTATTTAGCAACTTGTTGATAAACACTATCCCACTTTTTTAGTTTATAAATCTCTGGGCAATTTTCAATCAAATGGTTTAAAAGTATTTACTAATACTGTATACTGTATCCTTATTTAAAGTTTAGGAAAAACTTAAATAACTATTATTTAACTAGCAAAGATTTTTTCGAACTTTGAATGAGGATATCTCGATAACTACAGATCTATAATTGATGAATTTTTTTTTTTTTGGGTTCATAAAATTAAATAAAAAACTTTATTGATTTTAAATATCTTCACTCAAAGTCAAAAAAAGTTATATAGTTATTATTAGAGATCATCGATTTCATCCAATCAGAACGGGGTAATTCTAACATGTCCAACACTTTTTCGCCATGGCTAGTACGTACATGGCTAGGGTACTACAGTACTATATGAGTGCGGGAGATTGAAAACCTGGAAATAAAATAAAGTTGATGATCAGTGTTTTGATAATTTCAGTAATACCATCACTGCGACTTTTTATAATTGGACCTAAATTAAGAACCCCGAATTATTACTTGATTTTCGTGATTATTATGTAT